CAGTTAGCCATATTAGTGGACACTGAATCTTATAATTTTTTTCTGTTACAAATAATGCTTCAATGAAGGAATTTTTCATGAGTTTTTTTTTCGGGGGTGGGGGTAGGGGAGGGAATGGCAATTTAGAGGAATAGGTCCTGGGAATTTCTACTAGAAAATGAGCTAATATTGTTTAGCTTGTGAAGGTAAGATCAGAAGCTTTGATGGTCAGATAGCTGAGATCATACAGTACAAATAATACAACTGTTTGGGTGGCCAGTGCTTTTTTTTTTTTTTTTTTTAAATAATATCTTTATTTGTTTATTTATTTATGTGATGCTGAGGATTGAACCCAGTGCTCACATGTGTGAGGCAAACGCTCTCCCACTGAGCTATAGCCCCAGCTCACAGCCAGTGTTTTTTACACATGGATAATGTATAATCATAAATCTCTTGACAGAAAGTTTATCTTGTAATTTGTGGTAGAACTGGCTATTACTTGTATTTGTCTTTTAAAGAATAAATGAGTCATTACAACTGTTTCTGCCTCTTAATTATGGCTTAAAAATTGTAACTGCATTAACTTCTTTATACATGTGGTTACACATATTTATGTTACTTTTATTTATAATAATTTCCTTTCTGAATTTTGTTGGAAATTGTTTTTTTCATATTAAAATACTACAAAATACAGTACTCATACAGAAGTCTATATGTAACATATTACATAAAGAAAACTCTTGATGTTTTAAGACTACAGGTAACATATTGCATAATATACTGCCTGTTGCATAATGATGTCCATTCCATCCCTCCCTCAGCTGAAGTGGTAGAACATTACCAGTCTCTTGCTGGATGATCCCTCCCTACTTTCATCTTATTCCTGGCTCGGGGAAATCATCAGCCTCAAAGTGAGGTCTAGCACTCTGTTGTTACTTTTTTAGTTCATTATATATGTATATGTCCCTAAACTATTGTTAGCTTCATGTATTTTATAACATTATATAAATATTGTACCATTGATATTAATATGCCATTGTATATGTATACATATGTATATGTGTATAAAATCTAGTAAATATAAGTATATATCAATAATATTTGTGAGATATATTTGATGATATACACTTAGTTCATTCATTTCACTGCTTTATAATACTTATTTGTATAAAGGTGGCATAATTATTCACCCTTCTGCTGGTGGAATTCCTGTTTTTTGCTATTATAAATAGCATTGCTGTGAGCATTGGTCAATATATTCTTAGCACAGATGTGAAAGAGTTTCTGTAGTTACATCTCTTTTGTTGAGCATTTTCATAATGTGCATTTAAATAAATATTTTTTAGTTGTGAATGGAAACAATACCTTTATTTTATTTATATGTATGTGGTCCTGAGAATCAAACCTAGTTCCTCACATGTGTCAGGCAAGGGCTCAACCACTGAGCTACAGCCCCAGCCCCTTAATATACATTTTTAATATTTTTATTCCCACCTTCTGTGTGTCCTCCTGATTAAGGTATGTTTCTTATGAATAGTATATGGCTAGATATTTAAATATAGCCTTTCTAACTTGAAAATTTAATCAAATTTTTAAAATATTTTATTAGTTGTTAATGGGCCTTTATTAATTTCTCTGTATGTGGTGTTGAGAATTGAACCAGTGCCTCATACATGCTCATTACATTGAACCACAACCCCAGCCCATAGTCAATTTTCTTTTAATGTTAGTATGTTTATTCTTTGTTATTAGTCATCTTTGGCTATAGTAATGCTGGGTAACAACAGCAAACTTTCAGTGGCACATGACAAATGTTTATTTCTAGCTCACAGATCTGTAATCTCTGCTGAGTTTGACTGGGTTTGTTGGGGTTTGGCTATCAGCTGTGGGTTGGCTTCAGTTATGTGCCAGGTATCTAATTATTCTGGGAGAGCAGCCACCTGGTGTGCATCTCTACTGGTGCAGTGCAAACTCAGCTCCTACCACTTCCAGTTAGAACTCTGTAGCCAGTTCCTCCCACATTCCAGCAAGACAGCCCCCTCCCCCAAGGCAAAGTGCCTGAAAATGAGATTAAAGGCCACATTTTGCAGAAATATCCCAGTAATACCTTCTAGTGACATTGTGGATTTAAGATACATTATTTTATCATACTTGGATGGGATGGATGGGCTGCAAATTAGAAAGTAAGTTTTTTCTTCTTCTTTGTATATCCAATGGTAGTGTTTAGGGGAGGAGAAAGGGAATCTGAACATTTTATCTACTGTGCTACTTTACTGCCTTGTTGCTTAAAATAATTGGTAGACTACCTACTGTGAAAGTAGGTAATTGGGATCTATATTTTAAAGCTATGATTAATGTAAAGAATCTTGAACAAGTGTCTTTGGCTATAAGTCTTTGTAAATGTTTCTAAGAACTGCTCCATGACATTTTACATTAATTCTCACATATGCATATTTCTCACTATAAGACTTATATACATTTGTTACTTTAGATGTAAGTTTATAAATCTGGTGTTTTAAAATTTTATTGGTGTTTCTGAGGATAAGTGTTTTTAGTACTGATAAAATTCTTGATGTTTAAGAATTTAAATCCTTGAACAAGTATTTATTATGTCTAGGGCTATTGCTCAGGGGTTAGCACACTTGCCTGGTGCATGTGAGACATTGGGTTCGATTCTCAGCACTGCATATAAATAAATAAAATAAATATCTATCAACAACTAAAAAAATAAAAAAATAAAAAAGTATTTATTTGGCTATTGTTATGGGCAGGGATGGGACATTACGTAGTGCAAGGTGCTTTGATGTTACCATTTAGGAATTTTAAGTTTAAGATAAAAATTATTTTTGATATAAAATGAACAAGAAGGAAAGTACCTGGGCAAAGAGACTTGACTACATATATAAATGTAAGTGGATACCTGGGTCATTTTGTGAATGTTTAATCTACAGTGCATATTTATAAAGCAGGGCTGCCCTTCCTTGTCATCATTTAGCATGTTTTTGAGGAGGGAAGACAAATCAGACTTAATCAAGCATTGTCAAGAAAGTATATTTATTGCAAGAAACGTTTATCATGTATTCTAAAAACTCTCCTGGTGATTATATGTTGTTTTAGATTTTCCATACAGCTTTTCATTTCCTTTGGGGTAATTGGGTTATCTGAATATCATTTACTAGTGCACAGATAAAGAAGAAAGCATGTGGGATAGGGATCAGGTGATTATGTGGCAGAACTATGATTATATGCCTCTGCTAATTACAGTGGCTGAACCATGCTATACTTACAAATGCTTACGCAGTGGTTTTACATTTTGTAACTGTGTACTTCTCATGTATATTATTACATAGAATGAGTAAGTATATAGATGGGCAAGCATTATTTCTTCAAAAAGCGTTACCCAATTTTGATTCAAAAGCAGAGGGCCTAAGTATACTGTTTTCTTAAGTGATTTAGATATTAAGAAACTATAACTTTTTGTGATTGCAAAAAATAGCTCACTGGTTTATGAAGAAAGCTGCCCATGAGGTACCACAAGTGTGAATTTTGTATTGAAATTGATCTTATCTGTGGAATTAGATTTAGGCAGGCATTTGTGCAACCAGGGTTATGTTTAGATATAGGCTTGGTACTATTTTTTATTTAAAAATATGTTGATAAAAAGCAATATTTATAATGTAAATCTTAGGGAAAGCATTAAGCTTGTATTCATGTTGTAGGGACTGATGAGGTAAGGCACTGAAGATAGCAGGAAACAGTTTTATTTGGCTGTAGCCAGGTTCAGAGGGCACAGCTTCTGCTGTAATCAATCAATCCCCTGAACCCCAAGTTCAGGTAGTTTCAGAATTTTATACCCAGAATGTAAGGGGAGGGGCTCAGAAGTTCACAGTCTACAGAACTTCACGTAAAAGCAGTTTTTTTCCCTTTCACTGTTCTGGGCAAGTTAACCCTTCAAGGACAACACTTGAGAAGGGGAGAGCTACTTCTCCCCTTTTTCTTCCTCCTGCCAGCTGTTACCATGGAGCCCACTTGGTAACTTCTCTTAACTTAGAAATGTAGACATCTCTGTCAAGCTCCAGCTCAAGGCCAGCGGCCTGTTTACACATTTCTACAAACTACTACACTGGATACATGTTTGTGAAAAACTATTAAGGGGGTGTTCAGCATCTGGAGTGCTGATTCCTTCCTAGCCAGTGGCCAAGTAAGACAGGGCAACACGAAAATAGAAAGTTTATCTACGTTGAACTCTGTTGTAGGACTCTTTTGCTAACAGTCCTAAAATCAGCCATGGTGAAGATTTCTGGAGAAGTCCAATTAAGACTTTTCTGTGGAGAAAGGGGGTGCCACTACATTAATACTAAATACAAGATGGTGCTTTATGTTATGTTTGAGTGAAAAGAATTAAATACACATTTTAATTTAGTGTTTATCAAGTATTTTAAAAATAACTTAGAAAATGTTCCTTGAAAAGAAATATGCCCACATGATTGGGTAAATATAGGGGGTATTACAGAGAATTTTTTTGTACTTTGCTGTTATTCTATTATTATTATTATTATTATACAATGAACCCATTTTACATTTATAATGAGGAAGATGGCCATTATTGGAGAAAGTCTATAGCCATGACTTTGGTAATCTTTATTTCATGACTTTTATAAATGATTTATATGCAATCAAAATAGATTGATCAAGCTTTACGTGCTAGCTTTACCCTGGATAGAGTGTTTTCTTTATATGACTTAACTGGGAATGGGAAAGAAATATGTTTGTAATACTAAAGCCAAAGGACACTTGTTAATGAACTTCTGTGTGGTAATTACTCTCTATATATTATTTATTTGTGAAGTAATTTGTTTCACAAAAAGGGAAATGTGAATTTAACATGATGTTCTAAAAGAATGGTGTAACAAGGGTTTTTTCTGTAAATAGGTAAATTTTTGAAATGAAATTATTTTCTTCATTTCCTTTTAGAAAATCTTATTGTTCGAAAATACCATTCCTTTTTCTTTTGTTTCCAGAATAGGACATGTATTCCTCTGAGAAACCTTGGACAACAGATTTTGGTTTAGTATCTGATTGGGACAACACACAGAAACATTTCCAGTCATGAGTAAGTGTGCTGCTTTGATTCATTTCAGCTATCTCAGGAGCATTTGCAATATTAATTATTCTTTAAAAAAGAAAAAAAAATGTGTTACTAGACAAAGTGGAATTATGTCCCTTCTTCAGAGATTGAAAAATTTGTTCTTCCCAATACTCTATGTATGCTTGTCTCTATTAAAGCAAGGAGATGCTTTTTGATGTTTGATTTATTCTAAGAAGTTAGATGTGATGAGGAAATTAGTATCATTAGCTTCTTGGCTGATTTAGTTCTGTCATTTGAAAATTTCTAATTACTAGCCATTGGAAAATGAACCTTTAGAAATATGAGTAGGAAATATTGACATTGGCCACAATTAAGAGAGGTTTTATTGTGTGAAATTTAATCATTGGGTAACATGGGTTAATATATTTAAGCAAGACAAAACAAAATAAAAATATCTCTATCAATGCATTTGAATAAGAAACCAAGGCTATCCTGGATTTAACCAGATTTTTTTAAAAAATATTTTTTATTTATACATGGACACAGTATCTTTATTTTGTTTATTTATTTTTATGTGATTCTAAGGATCGAACCCAGTGCCTCACATGTTCGAGGCAAGCGCTCTGTCACTGAGCCACAACCCCAGCCCCCTTAACCAGATTTGATATAGGTTTTTTCCCCTTGGTTTAAAGAAGATGGTGTATATACATATATGTAATATTTTCTGTCAATTTCTGACCACCTCTGCTTGTGAACAGAACTGGTTTTATTATTTTGTGTTAACTGTTTTCTTTTAGAGGATGAGGAAAAAATGAAATTTTATCCTCTCTGGAATCCTATGGCAGTTTCAAAGTGTAGATTTTTTGATGATGGAAACTCTGAGATGTTGTGAACATTTCCTTTTTGGAATATAATGTTAGAGAGGTTACTTTTTTGCATATTATTTATATTGATATATATTTATCTTAATATGAATTAGCTGCAGCTTTTCTTGGATCAATGTAATTAATTTGGTAGTTGATAAAATGAAGTTTTTTTTTTTTTTGGTGCTGGGCCTTATGTGTGCAAGGCAAGCACTCTACCAACTGAGCTATGTTTCCAGAAAAATGAAGTTTTTGTTATTGTGAAGTATGAGTTTTCTACCAAGAATATTGCAAGAAGTGGTCTTTCATTTTCAAAGCTTTTCAGTGGTATCCTTTTTCCTGTTGGAATACTTTGAATAAACAAGGATCGTTGGTAGATGCATTCAAATACACCAGATTATGAAAGAAGCAGCTTTGCTTATTTCAGTTCCATTCATGAAATTTTATAAAAATGCCTATCTAATGTAAAGTGCTAATTCTAGTGAAGATGGCCATGAGTGCATGAAAATTAAAACAGAAATAGCAAGCATTTTAGTTTAAAAAATGTTTCCATGTTTGAAAAACCAAGATTTCTTCTAATATGTAATGTTAAGGTTTTGGTAGCATCTGTTGCAAATGTGAGTGTTTTTGAGGACAGGCATTCTATGTTTTCAATTTTGAATTCAGAATTTGACACAGTGTCTTGTCCACTAAAAAAATGGATCCCTATGAGGTTGAAGGCAGATGACTTGTTAGGTGCCTAATGGTGTTAACATTTTATTTCAAAGTGACAATGGTTTTATCTCACTTGGAATTTTTTTTTAAAAGAATTTTATTTATTTATTTATTTATTTTTATGTGGTGCTGAGGATTGAAACTGGCCTCTCACATGCTAGTCAAGTGCCTTACCACTGACCTGCAGCTCCAGTCCTGGAATATTTTTATTTGGTTCTTTTTTATGTCCACTAGTTCTTTTTCTTTTCTGCTTATTTTTACAATTGTTCCATTCTTTTGTTACTTCTTTTATCTTTTTGTGAATCTTTTATATTCTTAAAGTCATTTCTAGATCATTTGATGATTTAAAAAAATTATCTGCAGTGAATTTGTTATGATTGTTGATATTATTGGTGTTTTTATCATGTTCTGTAATTTTGCAGGCACATTCTGATGTGTTGTTTATTTATTTTCCTTTTGTCCAGCGGTCTCCCTCTCTCTCTTTGGGATTTTCCCTGCTGCTCTAGCAGATTTGTCGTTATCTCGGCCTGGCTTTGGAGTTCCCATATCAGTATCAGGTCTATGTTAGTAGATAGAGCCCTGGCCCCTGGTGACATTGGGGACATCACAGATTCAGTCACCAAGTCAGCTGGCATTAGGTCAGCAACCTCTGTAAGTGGTAGCTTCAGCAAAGTTAGCAGAAACCTTTTTCAGTCTAATTTACAATCTAGGAAAAGCAGTCCCTGGTTTTAAGCTAAGCGCCTGGCTACTGACCCTGCTTTATATGGGACACTTTTATTTACAGTTACCTCATAGGATCAGACTTCCTGCTGTTTTTTCCTGCTCTGGGGTCCAGATTGGCCTTAGCTTGTTTCACATTTTGTGTTCCTGTTAGATTTCTGATCCAGAGAGATTTAACACACTTTTTGGGGCATGGCTATGTCATTTTTCTGACTTATTTATATATTTTATTTGTTAAAATATTTGTTTTTGTGTGTTGTTGTAAAGAAGGAGGAGCTGCAAAGAGTGAATAATACTGTTGTGGTCTAAACACTGGTATTAAAGTTAGGTCCAGACTTCTTACTTCACACTTAAAATATATATATATATATCTTTTTTTTTTTTTTTTAAATCACCTTCAGCTTGGCTTTCTAGTTTAGAGCTCTTTCCTGTGGTTTCTGTACCACTTCACTTGCTAGTTGAACCCATTGTACTTTTCCATAGCTCTCCTCTTTCCTCTTTTGGTATCTATCATTCTATATTAAAAATCATCTACTTGTTTGTTCTCTTATCTTTCTCTAATTTGTACACTCCTTGAGGCTCCTTGAGGGCAAACATTCAATTCCTAGTGCTGAACACTATTCCTGGCACTGAGGTACTAGATAAATATTGTATCTTTGTATGTTACTAAAGTAATGTCCTTAGTATATGGTAGCTATTTGTGTATTAATATTTCTAGATGAAATTTGAGCCGTTCCCGTTAAAAAAAAAAAGAGTGTGTGTAGAGAGTACCACAGATTAAACATTCTGGGTAAATGGAACAGTGTGAGAAAGACGTGAAGGTTTGACTCCACGGAAGTGTTACTAAGCAGTTGAACCTTCTGTAGAGCAGAGGTGGGAAGGGAGATTGAGAGAGAAACCTGGGAGAGAGGAAGTCAGGCCTCAGGTCACTTACAGTCTAGGAAGCTCAGACTTCTTCTTGTAGGGCTTACAGAGTGTTAAAGGATTTCAGTTATGAGGATGACTTAATACGATTTCATTCTGGAAAAATTACTCTGACAAATGGATGTTTTTGTTATTTGTAAGGCAAGTCACATAGGCAGTGTTTGCCTTTCCTAGCTTTGTTCTTAGACTTCACTTTCTTTTTAAGCACTCTTTGAATCAAACTGAGTTACATTTCTGTTTCTTGCTTATTTGTTGATTTTCTCTAGAAAAGGAAATTCCTCTTCAGTAGAACAGTGTAATGATATGTTAGGGGGTATTGTAGTTTCATGTTTCTGTTGAAATTTCTAGAGGTTGTAAGTCTTTGAAAAAGTGGGAATCGAGTATATTAGAAGTCCTGTTTTTGAAAAAAAAATTATAAAAACACAGGCATATATGTCATTAAAAAGTTTAGAATTTTGAATCCTCTTTGGTTAAGAATGATGGGTTCAGTAACATTTTAAAAAATATTTCTCTAGAGATTAAAAGAAGGATTGGATACTACTGTATGTGGGTAGATTTATCTCTACAGAATTTCCCAACCCTTTCCGTGTCTCGAAACACATGTCATTGTACATGGGACATATAAATGAAAGTTGGAGGCAAGTGGTTTTGACAATACAGGCCATGCTGCCATGTATATCTAATTGCCCTGAAAGCTGAGGGGGTCAACTTTTCCACCCAACTGACATAGTTGGGGTACACTAACTGTAAGGTGTAGAGAATTTGTTAAATGCTTTATGATGGTTTTCAGCTTTTATTCTGATATATATTCTATCAGATTCTGAGGCTGAATCTTATTATTGTGGAAAATGTATTATGTGATGCTTTAGGATGCTGTGAATTTCATTGCGGATTATTGAATTGATTACAATCCACAAAAAGTCTTTTGATTTTTCAGTACTTAAATTGTTCTTGTTTTTCTGTATTTGCATGTTTTGCGATGTTTAACTTTCATTTGATTTGTTCATTTTGTTGTACCAAATGATGCCAAAGATGAAATAAAGTTGTTATATTTGAATTGGTCCTGTAATTTGAAATGGATGTGTTGGATCTTTAATGGAGATTACAACGAGAAAATTTGGGTAAAAGGCAGTGTCATACAAACTAATGATTATTTTAATGGAAAAGATTTTTTTAAAGTTTTAGGCACAAAAAGTTTGCTTACTTTTCTTTTACGATTTTAGTTTCACTTCTGTATTTTATTTTACTTCCATTAGGAAAATTTTGATTTGTGATTAATTATATGACATGTTTTCTGAGTTTTTTTGAATGTCAGTTCTCTCTGACTGAGCACTCCAGGAATGTGTTGCATCAGTGTTTGATCTTATCCTTTGACCTAAAATATAGAATGAGTTTTTTGAGGTCCCTTTTGGGTGTGAAATACTTTTCATTCAACTGAGGAAAAGGAATGGCAGTGTATAATTTGGGTATAATGTATTTATTGTTTTCTAGTAGGATGGGGTAGAGATCTTCATTGTTATGATTTGGAAGTGTCACTTGAAAAGTTCATGTGTTAATGCAGGAAAGTCCAGTGGTGAAATGATCAGATTAAGAGAGCTATAACCTAATCAGTGGATTAATCCATTTGATGGATTAATAATTTGAATGGACTATACTGTATGGTAACTCTTGGCAGGTGGGGTGTGGCTGAAAGAAGTAGATCACTGGAGGTGTGCCCTTGAGGATTTTATTTGTCCCTGGCTCCTCAGTGCATCTCTCCCTCCCTACCCCCCACCCCCTCTCCCTCTCCCTCTCTCTCTCCTC